GGGAGGAAAGATGGATTTGTGCCTTTTAAAACCAGATAATTTCACGGAACTAAAGTGCTCTGTTGGGACTTACCAGCTTGGGCTGCTCTTGGTACAACACGGGCAGCGTTCCGGAGCGGATCCGAGGCCAGGGCTCGCTCGGATCCAGGGCAGGCTCTGCCAGCTCTCCCTGTTAGGCTCGTCTTGCTCTAAGGTACTCGAGACTTCTGAACTTGAACTTACTCTAAAAACCAGACTTCACCACTTAAAAACATTTTACCTACAAGCACACGTAAAGCCACTTGAAGAAACATCAGCCTTCACTCGACAGAAAGGAAACGACCCCAAAGAAAGCTCTGAAGGAAGGAATGAAACAGTTTGCTGGACAGGAGTTCGGTTTTACAGTCCTCTTGTGACTGTTTTGACCCGGTGATGAAGATCAGACAAGACTGTGCCCAACCTTGGGCATGAAAACAAAACGCAACCGGTGCAGATGGTTTGATGGTTTGTTTTGGTTTGGTTTTTTTTTTTTTTGTCATTTTTCTGTTGATTTTTTGCTTTTTGAGAGGGTTTTTTTTTTAACGCTTGCACGTGTGTTGAAATATAGTTTATTTAAATACAATTCGGTTTGAAAATATTGTTTAAAAAAAGTGGAAAAAAATAAAATAATAATAATAATGTTAAGGTTTGGCTTTCAGCACGTGTTCCAGGCCACTGGACAGACCCTCCAAGCTGCACAGAGTAAACATCGTCACTGAAGACTGCCCGTTTCCTTCGGCGTGGTACAGTGTGACAGATTGTTCCTACCATTGTCTCAAGCTCATTAAGGCAAAGTAAATTGCATTGTCAGTTTTCATCCCTTTTAGTGTCGTGGCTCTGAAGGTTCTTCGTTTGGGAGGCCAGGGAACCTCCTCGGGGCACCTCAAAACCTCCTCCTCCTCCTCCTCCTCGGGCACAGCTCCCCGGGGAAATTCGGCTGCGCCTCTACCAATTCTATCCATCCTGGTGTGGTTTAAACTGGTGTACGAAATACCTCCCAAGTGTAAACAAGGCTTCAGACTTTAAAGGTGTCTTCCAAATTACAGTATGCAAAGATCTTTATGTCAGACATTTTAAAGAGGAGGCCTCACCCGTGTAACGCCGGCAGATTCCTGGGGTGAGCCGTGAGGATTAGTGTCTTCTTTCAACCAGACAGGACCAAACTGTTTCAAATTAGCAGTTCGAGATTTGTTTGGCTTCCTCTCAAGTCCTAATTGAGATTTGTCACCCACAAATGATGTACGCTAAGTAGTTAACACCAAAGCTACTCATCTACAATCTATTGCAACGAAGGAGGCTGACAAGAAATCCTTCAAAGTCTTGATAATAATGAAGTTTACTACCTTTTACATGTTTTGACTTCTACCACTTCTGAATCCTGTAGCAAAAGCCTCGGGGTAGGAGTCAAAGGGTTGGTTGGTTGGTTCTTTTTTATATGAAGTAAAGCAAAAGCTTACAAACTCTGCTGCCAGAGTTCTGGGGGTTTTTTAGGATGGTTTAAAATTCATTTACAAAAGCAGAATAATAAGGTTTCTGTGAAAGAGACCTATATACAGTAACAGGACGTAAAGGTTTTGTGTATTACAGGAAAATATCCTTGAAGCCTTTATGACCCTGGAGTCTCTGGGACTTGGACCCTCGGAAACTAAGTTTATTCCGCTGCTGGGAACCCAGCACTGTCTAGTAATAAGTGAGACAATGAAGCACAAGTTTGTTTCCAGAAGGAACTGGAATTGCTGTGCGTGTTCTTTTGGGAGGGAAAGGAGAGACTGACTGACTGTTTTGATTGTGTAGTGAAGTCACATAGCCTGCTGGTGCCAATTTTGAAAAGTTGGAACTTCTTTGCCTCTTGCACTGGTCTCAGAGTGACACCGTCTGCTAAAAGTGCAGAAAGCTTGAAGAGTTTTACATTCTTCTGTAGTGCAATCCTTAAAAATCCCAGAGATTAGTGCCTGATCACTTTTGAAAAAAAG